ATATATATAAATATACAGATATATACAGATATATATATACATATATATACATATATATACATATATATACATATATATACATATATATACATATATATACATATATATACATATATATACATATATATACATATATATATATATATATATATATATATATATATATATATATATATATATATATATAGATATTATAGATATATACATATACACTGTGGTTGTGTATTATATATGTATATATTATATTTATACTGTTTATATATATATATATATACACATAAACATATATAAATATATATATATATATATATATATATATATATATATATATATATATATATATATATATATATGTATGTATATACTGTGTATCTTTCTTTCTTTCTTTGTTGGATTTCTTGGCTATCAACCAGCGACATGTGGCCAAGGTTATTAAGCCAATGGATCCTACTTATTCCATCAACCTATATAAGGTCATAAAGTTTTGTCTCCCTTAAAAAAGTGATTACTTTACTTATTATTTTTTCATTATTTGATAAGAGATTTGATGTTGTAAAATCTATGTTTTTATTCTCATGTAATTTTTGAGTGTTTGTCTTTTATGGTTGTAATTTGGGAATATTGCTAGGATGTGGTTGATAGTAAGGGTGCTGATGCACCGAGGGCATTGTGGGGGAAAATTTCATTCTATATAGGGAGTGAGGTGGGTAAATCTTGAGGCGTTAAGGCGGCTCAACACCACCTCCTCCCTTCTTTCCACTCACTATGACACAGGAGATGTATTTTTGCTTTAATAAGAGACACAAAACACCTGAGATCTGTACGAACTATGGTAGTGTCCAGATCGCCAGTTGACCCGGCTAGTTTGTCAACCTGTTCATTGCCATGGATACTAGAGTGGCCTGGCACCCATATTAGCTTGATTGATTTGTTGGCACTGTGTAACTTACGAATGATATTACCCAGCAGTTCATTTTTAGTGGTTTCTAAGGCTTTAATAGCTTTAAGTGAACTTAATGAATCGGAAAGAATAACTATTCTATCGTGGGTCGTCGATAGTGCAAAGGCAACATCTTTGTCAATAGCAAAAAGTTCGGCAATAAAGATCGATGTATGATTCGGCAGTCTGAAATTTAGTTCACATTCAGTCAACATACACCCGCACCCACACAAACATCTGTCTTGGAGCCGTCGGTATATATATGAAAAAAGTTTAGATGTTTAATAAGGATCTCTCTGAACCTCTGGCGTACCTCCACCTCCGGCGCCATGACCTTGGCTGATGGAAGCCAGGCTTCCATGATAGAAAAGTTGGGGTTTTTCCAGGGCACTATATTTGACTGAACTAGGGTATCGATGGTAGAGAGATCTATACCGAGTCTCGTCTCGTCCTGACTCCACCTCAAGACACTCGATTCGAGTACATTTCAGGGCTCCAACACACACACGCAAACAAGCATTCTGCACAGCATCCAAACCTTTCAAACTGGTTCTCGATGCCGAACCATACACGATTGACCCATAATCTACTTTAGACCTAATCAGGGCTTTATATATTAGCAAAGACTGTCTATCAGCTCCCCATTTATTACCAGAAATGCACTTTAATAAATTTAGTGCTTTTTGACATTTATTTTTTAACTGACCAATGTGGTCTTTCCAATTGAGTCTGCTATCAAAAAGTAGCCCAAGAAATTTAGCAGAATTTTGAATTGGTATTGGGTGGTGGCCTAGAGTTAGCCTGATGTTCGGTTTCATCCTATGTAAAAAAGAATTACCCCAATACTCTTTCTAGTGGTAAACTTAAAACCCCACTGGAGGCCCCAGTTATGAAATTGGCGTCTCTTTCGGAAACCGCACTGCTCGTCAACTAGCAAATTACTGGAATTTAAGAAATTACAATTAACAATTCGTTCCATGACCTTGCATAAGCAATTTGTCAACGCAATTGGGTGGTAGGACATGGCAAGTTTGGGATTACCCCCTCCTTTCAATATGGGAATGATGTGGGCGAAGTGCCATGAATTTGGAAAAGTGTGACCAAATTTCATTGTACACTTCTAGCAACTTAATCATATCATCATGATTAAGATGCTATATCATCTGGGGATGTTCCTCTACAGCAGGGGTCTCAAACTCGCGGCCCGCAGGCCAAATGCGGCCCCCGGGACGATAATTTGCGGCCCGTCTTGATATTAAAGATCAATGTTAGTGCGGCCCGCAAGATTGATATGAATAAGACTTGTTGTATGCGGAGCTGAACGAACCAATCACGGTGGGGTAAAAGGCTCTGAAGCGTGGTACATCGGCCATGCTGTCCAGTGCCTCGCTCACTCATTCATTCCTCCAGTCAGCTGGGCGGAAGAGAAGCTGTGAAGCCGCTGACTTTTTAGGGAAATCCTGATGCGGCCCAGCCTCACCCAGACTCTGCCTCCAGTGGCCCCCGGGTAAATTGAGTTTGAGACCCCTGCTCTACAGGCTTCTAGGACTCGGACAAGCT